TGCTTTGTGTGAATTAAGGTCTGCATTGATAACTTGCTGCAATTTAATCACAGGTCAAGTCATGTCCAGCTTTGTGAAATTAGCATAAATTTTTCCAAGGGAACCAGTCAATCAAATACAACCAGTTAAACGGGGTAGCTGAAGTTGGGTCAAAGCGTATAAGACGACGATGATACATCGTTTTTCATGGTCGCAACGGTAGTTATTTTTATTTACTGTTCCATCAAGGATTAGTAAAGGGGGTTTGATTTGGTGCGCGAATGAGCACCTTGGAGATGAGCTCTTGACGTCAAGTGCAGAAAGTCCGCCTAGGATGCTATCCATTCTTCCCTTCCATCTAGGCACGGGATGAATTAACTAAAGCTGGATTGAATTTATTTAAAATGAAAACGAGGTAGTTCTGACACTCGGATTTTATGGAGTCTTAATCGACACAAATCCAAAATACGGTAAATCTGGGTATACGTGCTACGGAAGCGCTGCAAAGTTTTTCTGCTATCACTACCAGGGACAAGTTGTTGTTCTCCCATGACGTTTAGTTGTATTTTTACGTAAAAATCTCTCACTAAATGGTAGTGCAATGGATGCTAAGCAAATTCAAAATAGGTGGGGCAGGACTACTTTGGAATATCGGGGTTTTTTGGTTGTGTAGGGAATTCCAAACGCATTTGACTTAGGAGCAGAGTGCAGAAATGAATTAAAAGTAATCGCATTGTAGATCGGGTTGGAGCCTCATTTATCTTCGTTTAGCTGAAAAACTCATCTTATGAATTAATTTGGTAAATGGGACCAATGAAAGTGGTAAAGGATAAGCAATGGAATGGAAGAGCACAGCTTAACTTAGGTCACAAAAAGGCTTGTAACTTGCAGCCTCTTTGCAACAGTAGGTCAGGATGTTAGTGGTGCGTGCACTTCCACTTTGTACTCCATTGTCCTCAGTGTCTAAGAGTAACTTGACGGGTATTCTCTGCACCCAACTTCAACAAAACCCACGCCAATCGTGGCATGCTTCTGATGTTGTTAGGTAGTAATGGTACGATGCAGCTTCATATCTCAAGTGACATCAAAGTTAAACCCAAGTTTAAAGTTGAGTGCACTTACCTAGCTTAGCACAGAGTTCTGGCAGCCCATACTCATGAAAATCGCGTTGAAATAGATTAAACTCCATACATTCCATAGAAGGTGGGATGAGGTGGAAGAGACGTGCTACGGTGTGGGCTTCCTGTAGAAGACAGGCAAGTTATTTTCTAATAACATAATGCAGGAGGTGGTCAGATGGTAATGTGCCTTTATTTTATTTTTACTGTAATGAGTATAGGATCGTCTAGTTGCACAGACTTCTAAATTGCGTAAGCTCGTCAGGTACGTAGTTTGTGAACGTTGAGCCCGAAGCTAAGCGGGAATAACTAAGGTGCTAAGGTTCTCTTGAAACAATTTGGCAATTCTTAAATGCTATTCCTCAATTAAAGAGTGATCTGTTGCATAACTAACCATAGCTTTTCGTAATATTTACTTGACAGTGAAAACCAGTGTGAAATTTATTTTGCTGACATCGACAAAGTGTTGCGAAACAAGGTTATGACTTTCCTCCACTGCACTAAATAAGAACGTCTACGGTGCTAGCTTGGTACCGCAGAACTTTAAGAAGGTCATGCTAACAATATGAATATCCATCAGAAATTGGGCAAACAATACCACTTTCAGTATTTGAATAGTGGCATTCCTTTCATTGACTTGAAAAACTTCATTATTAAACTCGGTTCTGGTGAACAAATTAAAAGGGAATGACGAATTGGTGGAACTAGTGATGGAAGGTGACGGATATTAATCACATGCTTTTGCACTTAAAGCTGGTTTATCATTAACTGGTTCTTCATTCCAAACCAAATGTGAAAGTGATGGCTCTAAAAGGACAATTCGTTCTAGGAAGCTGTTTTGCGCACCACTCAGAGGGTCGCCATGGGGTGCCATGACCCTCTTAATGTTCTCAAAATCATTCGGAAAATTATGAAAAGCCACGGACCTTTTTATAAGAAGTATAGTTTTTTCCCATTTTCACTGTTTTAGCCAAAACTCAGAACCTCAAAGTTATATCAGACGCCCTTCGAATCTGAAGTCATCATTTCAGAGTGGCTATTAGGCACTGGGATTTGTTGTGCCAAACATTAATTACTAAACCACCTTCTCGATGACATTCTGGTTTTTTAGAGATGACGCATTGTATCATCCTTTTGATACACGATAGCAAGCAAGAAGCACAAGCGTACCATGATGTCGTTGGGGGGCCAATTGGAGGTGCCCCAGTAGAAAGCCCATCCCTGTTGCACGATGAAGGTGCAGGCACGCACAATCTCCTCAACGGTGCAAATGCGCTCGGGATCCCGAGTGATCAGCATAATGTCCACGTAGTCTAGCTGCAACCGCTCCAGAGAGCCCAAGAGTCCTCAAAAAATATTACTCGATGTGAAATTATAAATAATTTGTAATTTTATTCCGACTGAAAGCGATTAAACACAGATAACTGGGATAGGTCTTCTCGTAAACTGCAACACATTCTGTGGCTTCTCTGCCATCAATAATCCCCAAAAAATTTTCGGCTCAATTTGTGCAGGCTTGAGGGGGCCGACTCAAGTGTGCACTTGACATGATAGCGATAACCTTGCATTGGTATCACAGTCCTTTTAGGTACTCCAATTACCTCCTTGCTCAGCTTTCCGGTTAGCGTGACTTTGGAGGACCAGCTCCCAGCTTTGCATAGTGGAGGATCCCAGTGATAAAGTTATAGCAAGTCCGCTTGCAATGCTACTACTTTGATATCCAATGTCCTCGAGTGCTCACAATTTCTAATAAAGTGATTGTGACGATTCAAAAGGACGAGGGTTTGGTACTGATGAGAACTTTACTGAAGGTGCACTTGAAATCTGGTAGACTCTATGCACTCTTCAGCGCATGATTTGAGCGTCCGAGTAGACATTTGCTTAGTCCTAATTTAGAAATGTACCTAAAGGGCTTTTTTATCACAGAATGCATCTGAATGGCATAAACAAGACAGTCGATTCAGCCAGTGGATGGAGGGGACATAGGAAATGTCAAGCGATCATATTCAACGCAAAGGGTAATTAGCTATGAAAATAATGCAATGTGGTGTGCATTCTCCATATGACTTCAGCCATTTTGGATAGAAACACCCTGGTGCAGAGTGAGACTATTGGGACTTAAACCATGGACACCCAAACTAAGATGCAACGTTAAAATCCAAAAGCAATAACATCGTCAGTGTTAGTGGGCCACGCAGTGCCATAAATGAAAATTGGAAACAGAAATAGGTACGATCTGAACGCTTTTGAGCTTACAGTTGTTTATTAAAGAGTTATATGATATTTTGAACTGTTTGTTCTTGCCCCCGGATGATGAACACTATGCAAATGAATGCTAATGAGACTGATGAGGGGCTGTATTGCATCACATTTACCATAAGAAACAGTTGTTTTCTCTCTCTGTTATTAGCATTTAGGTTATAGTACTACGAATACATTTGAATGTCCTCTGTATCACTTCTTGCTGCGCTTCAACACAATCAAAGATGTCCGTAGTGTCAAGCACAATATTTTCGATAAAGTTCTTCAGTACGATGTGCACTTCTTACCTTCAATAATTCGTTTTCGTGATAGCGTAACCTCGGTTGGTGCGCTGAAAGCAGCAAAACATTTGGTAAAGCTTTTAACACAAGAGTAATACAAAATATGCTACCTGTCCATCCACTTGCATTTCTCATGCTACTGTCGAACTTTGTGACATCATAAAGCATTGTTTTCAGCTACATTAACTCCGGTAGACGCGCAACAAAAGGCAAGATTGATTGCCCATAGCCATCTTTTTTGCATATAATTATGAGCCAAATTTTAGAACGTTCAAAAGGCGTGGTCGTTGGGAAAAAAACTAGTTTTTCATGAAAGAGTAGAAAAACTCCCAAAGGAGGTAATGGAGCGAGCTTCATCTTAAAATTCCAAAAGCCACGAAGCATCATATTGCCCTCAGTTTGCTCTTCT